GGGGGGTTGGTTGGTTGGTTGGTTGTTAGACTTATTTCTTTTCTGTAAAGGAGGGTCTGTTTGAGGAGCATCTCGTGAACAAGTTGAAATGTTTGTGGTGTACAAGGCTAGAAGTTGTTGTATTAGTTCTTGGGTTGAACCCAACTTGAATTTCACGGGTGCAGTTTGATGATACTTTTTTTTTTTTTTACATACTAGTAATTAAGCACGTGAGATATTTTCCTTCATATTAATTATTTGAATTTTACAGATAGAAATTGAAAATTAACAAAAGTAACAATATGATTAAAAATAAATTTAAATATTTATAGTAATGCGTGCATGTATTGCATGTGGTAATTTTAAATTACAATAACAATTATTATTATTATTATTATTACTATTATTATTATTAAATTTGGTATTCCATTTGTCATAAATAGAAATAATTTTTATTTTAACAATTATTTTATTTAATATGACGAATATATACATTAGAAATATTCTCAAATGTTTTTGACAAAATTTTATACTTTTTCATTTTTTGTGTTCTATCTTTTTTTAAATATTTATTATTCAATTATGACATCATGATTTTCCTTAAAAAGTTGGATCGTTGACCCACCATCTAGATAATAAAATAGCTTTGCTTTCAAATCAATTTTAAATTATATATTTTATCTACATTATATAAATAATTTTTACTTATTACACTGAATTTTTACTTATCACATAATTAATATATAATTTTTTATATATTCTTTTGATTACTTGTACTTTTTTATCTTTTTTAAAAATTTGTTATTGAACTATCATATCATTGATTGATTATTTTGACCCAAACCACTAACCCACCACCCAAAAATGAAAATGATCGATTTCTAGGATTACATTAAATTTTGTATTACATTTCCATCATTGACAATCTCTTATACTTAATACTTATTTTTTTTATTTTACTAAAAACTACTTATTTTTGTTCAATATATTGAATGCATAATATTAGAGATGCACCCAATATTTTATTTTTGTACAAATATAACATTAGGTATGTGCCCAAAATTTTCTATATTTTTTGTGATTCTTTGTATTTTCTACTTTAAAAAATTTTATTATTTGACTATAACATCATTTCATCTCTAGGTTGATTGTAAATTTGGCATTCCATTTTCATTATTAATATATCTTAAATATATTAAATATATGACATTATTTTCATCATTTTAAAATATATCTTAAATATAGGATCTAATGAGAGAATATATAGGAAAATAGTTTTATTTCTAATTTGTTTTAAATTTTACATTCCATTTCCATATTGATAAAAATTTCTTATTTATAATACTTATTATTGTTTAATATGTCAAACATATGATGTTAAAAATGTTCCCAATTTTTTCTTTAATTTCTATATTCTTTTAATTTTATATATTTTTGAATTTTATTATTTAATTATAATATGAATTTTTATTTTGACAAATATTTTTATTTAATATGATGAATATAGAACACTAGAAATGTTCTCAAAATTTTGTACTTTTTTTTCATTTTGTGTTCTATCTTTTTTTTTAATAGTTTTTTGTTCAACTACGACATCATGAGTATCTTTGAAAAGTTGAATCATTGACGCACCATGTAGATAAGAAAAAGTAGCTTTGCTTTCGAGTGACACTTAATTTATGTTTGACATAATTAAGATATAACTTTTTATCTGTTCTTTTGATTACTTACACTTTTTTTTTCTTTTTAAAGATTTATTATTTAACTATCATGTCATCGATTAATCTATTTGACCCAAACCACTAACATACCACCTAAAAAGAAAAATAGTTTGATTTCTTGGTCAACACTAAATTATGTATTACATTTCCATCATTGATAAAATCATTTTTAGGTATAATACTTATTTTTTGTCAATATAATGAATGTATAATATTAGAAATTCACCCAATATATCTTTTTTTATAAATATATAACAACAAAAAGGTGCTCCAATTTTTTTCTAATTTTTCTTTATTTTTGTGATTCTTTGTATTTTTAATTTCTAAATATTTTCTTATTTTATTATGCCATCATTTCATTTCTGGGTTGATTTTAGATTTGACATTTCATTTTCATCATTAATAAACTTACTTCTTACATATAATAATTATTTTTGTTTAGTATAATGAATATATAATTTAGAGATATACCCAATTCTTTTTTCTTTTTTGTATTTTGATATTTTATTTGTTTTTTATTTACTATTTAATGATGGCATTATTAGTTAACCCATTGGCCCAAATGGTTAAATTACATATCCACCACCAAGAGGGAAGAAAATGGTTTTGTTTTCAAATTATTTTTTAAAATATTTATTTTTATGCTATTAAAATTAATACTGTAGATTTAATTAGTAGAATTTAATGATGAGATCTTAAATATATGATTTAATAAGAGAATATACCTTAAATATGAGATTTAATGAGAGAGAGTATGAAAAATAGTTTTATTTCAATTGGTTTTAAATTTTATAATCCATTTCCATCATTAATTAAAACATTTCTTATTTATCATACTTATTATTGTTTAATATGTTGAATATATTATGATAAAAGTGTCCCCGAATTTTTTAATTTCTATATTTTTGTAATTTATCTATTTTTGAATTTTATTATTTAATTGTGGGAACATGGATTGACCCATTTGACTCAAAATGGTTTAATTTCTTACTACCACCTAGATGAAAACATTATTTTTTTGGTATATTTTAAAAGTATAAATTTTTTTGTTATTGAAATTATTAATTTATTATGTATGGATTTAATTAATAGAATTTAATGAGGAAAAGAAACAAAAATGACTTAAATATATGATTAAATGAAGGTAAATGCAAGTTAATAACTTAAATGTTGGATTTAATGAGAGGGAATTCAATGCATTGAATATCTTAATATTACATTTTTCAGCTCATTTAATATCAACAACTGATTACCCTATTTATCCTCTTGTTTTATCAATAAATTTAAATATAAAGGGGTAAATTTTGCCTTAAGAAAATTCCAGAAATATTTTTATGGCTATTCGTGCTTTTTAAAGTAGTATAGATTTGATGATACCTGATATGGTATATAAAGAAAACTACGGAAACCATGGTCATGAGAAACAGTTTGATGCCTTGTCCAGACTTCAAGTTGTGATTATGATACATGGTGGCAATTTAATAAGTGGACACTGAATCGAGGAAGAGCCCTTTTCAGTGTCAGATTGGAATATACCTAATTCTGCATTTGCATTCTCACATGTCTCCCATCTGACACCAATCCATTGAGGGGTGTGAATTGGTCCAATCCGATCTAATCCAATGTGAATCCATTATAAATGGACCAGGTCCAATCCAATCCAATGAATGTTTTGGACCAATTTGGACTGGTCATATCAATGTCTAAACTGTTCAATTTGTTCAAATTCATTTTGATTTAGATTGATTTCAATCTAAACCCGGTCTATTGCCACATATATTTTTATCTTATATCAATCGGCCAAATGTTGGCTTAATCCAATCCAATATAAATTTGTTATAGTTGGATCAAGTCCAATCCAATCTAATAAATATTTTAGAACGGATTGATCCAATCCAATATATCTTGTTGGTCTATCTAATCCATCAAAATTGATCTTGGACTGAACAAATCCAATCCAAAACCGCTCCATTGACACCCTTAAATCCATTGGTGAGAAGTTCACCTGATAAGAAGGGCCCAGTTTACGGTCTTATGTTATGGATGCACGTATCATGAAAGACTAATGGCCGTTATTAAACGAATCTTCAATTGTCGCAGTTGTTTTCCCTCCTTTGGTTTATCAACTAGGGTAAGAAATAGAAGATTCGCGCATTTTCTTTTTTAGTTATGCATTTTTGGCATCTCCCTAACCATTGAATAGAAGCATGGGAAGCATAAGAACAAGGGTTCAACTTTGAGAAGTGACATTTGTCCAGAAGAAGAACCAAAAGTCACAAGAGGATATGGCTGGTTCCAGCATGGCTTTTAAAAATGAACCGGTGACCGAATCGGTCAGGGGTCTGGTTATTGGTTCGAAAGGTCCAACCGTTTGACCTGAATGGCTGGCCCGTTCTAACAAAAAAATAAAAAAAAATGGTCAAAACAATTCGAACAATTAACCGGCTGATTCAGCGATCTACTAACCAAAATCAACGGTTTTAGAGTAAAATGGAAACAGTCGGGTGACCGATTCCTGATTTTTCCAGTCCGATTTTGAAAACCATGGGTACCAGTATTGGGCAATGGTCCATTTAATTGTTGTTTGATCCTGAAAGGAGTTGAATTTGGACCATGTTAAAATTTGGATACATTTCTGCGAGAAAGTTCTTTCCCCTTCTCGAAAAGCTAGGTGAGAATCTAACTTTTACGGAAAACTGTTCTGTAATTTGTTTTATCTAGATAAATAGCTATTCTATATTTAATAATGGTTCAGAGGAAATGCTTATAAGTTTCTATCATTACAAGTGTAGTTTATGAAAGAAAATTCAATATTATATTAAAATATGTAATGAGTCCTAAGATTATATTGGAGAACTCCTGTTTGTTCCATAAGAATAAACATATAACTATGGCTATAAAAGAAGTTTATTATCAAGATAAATCCAATTATACTCAAATAAGGAGAAGATATCAACTACTAACTTGTGGGTAAAAGAATGATAGTTAAGAAACTATGAGTTGGATACAAAGCAAAGAATGATACGAACCTTGGCATCAACAATGATAGTTAAGAAACTATGAGTTGGCTACAAAGAGCAAAGAATGATAGTTAAGAAACTATGAGTTGGCTAGGATA